CCGAAAAAAAAAACGACAGTGTTACCCCTTACGTTTTTTTTTTGGGGCGAAAAATTAAGTTTCCCCAATCTTCTCAAAACTCTGGATTCTGATAGAGGGCCATGAGACTTAAACCTGAGTGCAAAAATGGAGGCTCTAGACCCTTCCAGAGCTGAGATATCGAAACTCAAAAATTCGACCCGAAAAAAAAAACGACAGTGTTACCCCTTAAGTTTTTTTTTTTGGGCGAAAAATAAGTTTCCCCAATCTTCTCAAAACTCTGGATTCTGATAGAAGGCCATGAGACTTAACCTGAGTGCAAAAATGGAGGCTCTAGACCCTTCCAGAGCTGAGATATCGAAACTCAAAAATTCAACCCGAAAAAAAAAACGACAGTGTTACCCCTTACGTTTTTTTTTTTTTGGGCGAAAAATTAAGTTTCCCAATCTTCTCAAAACTCTGGATTCTGATAGAGGGCCATGAGACTTAACCTGAGTGCAAAAATGGAGGCTCTAGACCCTTCCAGAGCTGAGATATCGAAACTCAAAAATTCGACCCGAAAAAAAAACGACAGTGTTACCCCTTACGTTTTTTTTTTTCGGGCGAAAAATTAAGTTTCCCAATCTTCTCAAAACTCTGGATTCTGATAGAGGGCCATGAGACTTAGACCTGAGTGCAAAAATGGAGGCTCTAGACCCTTCCAGAGCTGAGATATCGAAACTCAAAAATTCGACCCGAAAAAAAAACGACAGTGTTACCCCTTACGTTTTTTTTTGGGGGCGAAAAATTAAGTTTCTCCAATCTTCTCAAAACTCTGGATTCTGATAGAGGGCCATGAGACTTAACCTGAGTGCAAAAATGGAGGCTCTAGACCCTTCCAGAGCTGAGATATCGAAACTCAAAAATTCGACCCGAAAAAAAAAACGACAGTGTACCCCTTACGTTTTTTTTTTTTGGGCGAAAAATTAAGTTTCCCCAATCTTCTCAAAACTCTGGATTCTGATAGAGGGCCATGAGACTTAAACCTGAGTGCAAAAATGGAGGCTCTAGACCCTTCCAGAGCTGAGATATCGAAACTCAAAAATTCGACCCGAAAAAAAAAACGACAGTGTTACCCCTTACGTTTTTTTTTGGGGGCGAAAAATTAAGTTTCCCCAATCTTCTCAAAACTCTGGATTCTGATAGAGGGCCATGAGACTTAAACCTGAGTGCAAAAATGGAGGCTCTAGACCCTTCCAGAGCTGAGATATCGAAACTCAAAAATTCGACCCGAAAAAAAAACGACAGTGTTACCCCTTACGTTTTTTTTTTTTTGGGGCGAAAAATGAAGTTTCCCCAATCTTCTCAAAACTCTGGATTCTGATAGAGGGTCATGAGACTTAAACCTGAGTGCTAAAATGGAGGCTCTAGACCCTTCCAGAGCTGAGATATCGAAACTCAAAAATTCGACCCGAAAAAAAAACGACAGTGTTACCCCTTACGTTTTTTTTTTTGGGTGAAAAATGAAGTTTCCCCAATCTTCTCAAAACTCTGGATTCTGATAGAGGGTCATGAGACTTAAACCTGAGTGCTAAAATGGAGGCTCTAGACCCTTCCAGAGCTGAGATATCGAAACTCAAAAATTCGACCCGAAAAAAAAACGACAGTGTTACCCCTTACGTTTTTTTTTTGGGCGAAAAATGAAGTTTCCCCAATCTTCTCAAAACTCTGGATTCTGATAGAGGGTCATGAGACTTAAACCTGAGTGCTAAAATGGAGGCTCTAGACCCTTCCAGAGCTGAGATTTCGAAAGTCAAAAATTCAACCCGAAAAAAAAAACGACAGTGTTACCCCTTACGTTTTTTTTTTTTTGGGCGAAAAATGAAGTTTCCCCAATCTTCTCAAAACTCTGGATTCTGATAGAGGGCCATGAGACTTAAACCTGAGTGCAAAAATGGAGGCTCTAGACCCTTCCAGAGCTGAGATATCGAAACTCAAAAATTCGACCCGAAAAAAAAAACGACAGTGTTACCCCTTACGTTTTTTTTTTTGGGGCGAAAAATGAAGTTTCCCCAATCTTCTCAAAACTCTGGATTCTGATAGAGGGCCATGAGACTTAAACCTGAGTGCAAAAATGGAGGCTCTAGACCCTTCCAGAGCTGAGATATCGAAACTCAAAAATTCGACCCGAAAAAAAAAACGACAGTGTTACCCCTTACGTTTTTTTTTTTTGGGGGCGAAAAATGAAGTTTCCCCAATCTTCTCAAAACTCTGGATTCTGATAGAGGGCCATGAGACTTAAACCTGAGTGCAAAATGGAGGCTCTAGACCCTTCCAGAGCTGAGATATCGAAACTCAAAAATTCGACCCGAAAAAAAAAACGACAGTGTTACCCCTTACGTTTTTTTTTTTGGGCGAAAAATGAAGTTTCCCCAATCTTCTCAAAACTCTGGATTCTGATAGAGGGCCATGAGACTTAAACCTGAGTGCAAAAATGGAGGCTCTAGACCCTTCCAGAGCTGAGATATCGAAACTCAAAAATTCAACCCGAAAAAAAAAACGACAGTGTTACCCCTTACGTTTTTTTTTTTTGGGCGAAAAATGAAGTTTCCCCAATCTTCTCAAAACTCTGGATTCTGATAGAGGGCCATGAGACTTAAACCTGAGTGCAAAATGGAGGCTCTAGACCCTTCCAGAGCTGAGATATCGAAACTCAAAAATTCGACCCGAAAAAAAAAACGACAGTGTTACCCCTTACGTTTTTTTTTTTGGGGGCGAAAAATTAAGTTTCCCCAATCTTCTCAAAACTCTGGATTCTGATAGAGGGCCATGAGACTTAAAACTGAGTGCAAATATGGAGGCTCTAGACCCTTCCAGAGCTGAGATATCGAAACTCAAAAATTCGACCCGAAAAAAAAAAAACGACAGTGTTACCCCTTACGTTTTTTTTTGGGGGCGAAAAATTAAGTTTCCCCAATCTTCTCAAAACTCTGGATTCTGATAGAGGGCCATGAGACTTAAACCTGAGTGCAAAAATGGAGGCTCTAGACCCTTCCAGAGCTGAGATATCGAAACTCAAAAATTCGACCCGAAAAAAAAAAACGACAGTGTTACCCCTTACGTTTTTTTTTTTGGGCGAAAAATTAAGTTTCCCCAATCTTCTCAAAACTCTGGATTCTGATAGAGGGTCATGAGACTTAAACCTGAGTGCTAAAATGGAGGCTCTAGACCCTTCCAGAGCTGAGATATCGAAACTCAAAAATTCGACCCGAAAAAAAAACGACAGTGTTACCCCTTACGTTTTTTTTTTGGGGGCGAAAAATTAAGTTTCCCCAATCTTCTCAAAACTCTGGATTCTGATAGAGGGTCATGAGACTTAAACCTGAGTGCTAAAATGGAGGCTCTAGACCCTTCCAGAGCTGAGATTTCGAAACTCAAAAATTCGACCCGAAAAAAAAACGACAGTGTTACCCCTTACGTTTTTTTTTTTGGGCGAAAAATGAAGTTTCCCCAATCTTCTCAAAACTCTGGATTCTGATAGAGGGTCATGAGACTTAAACCTGAGTGCAAAAATGGAGGCTCTAGACCCTTCCAGAGCTGAGATATCGAAACTCAAAAATTCAACCCGAAAAAAAAACGACAGTGTTACCCCTTACGTTTTTTTTTTGGGCGAAAAATGAAGTTTCCCCAATCTTCTCAAAACTCTGGATTCTGATAGAGGGCCATGAGACTTAAACCTGAGTGCAAATATGGAGGCTCTGGACCCATCCAGAGCTGAGATATAGAAACTCAAAAATTCGACCCGAAAAAAAAAAACGACAGTGTTACCCCTTACGGTTTTTTTTGGGGGCGAAAAATGAAGTTTCCCCAATCTTCTCAAAACTCTGGATTCTGATAGAGGGCCATGAGACTTAAACCTGAGTGCAAAAATGGAGGCTCTAGACCCTTCCAGAGCTGAGATATGTATAATGGCATACATGCTACGTGGGATCTCGATATCTCAGCTCTGGAAGGGTCTAGAGCCTCCATTTTTGCACTCAGGTCTAAGTCCCATGGCCCTCTATCAGAATCCAGAGTAGTGAGAAGATTGGAGAAACTCATTTTTTCGCGCCGAAAAAAAAAACCGACAGGGGTGCCTCTGTCGACTTTTTTGGTACAAGAAAAAACGTTTCTCTGATCTTCTTGAAACTCTGGATTTGGGACCCCAAACCCTTCAGACCCCACCATCCCCAGCTCCTGGGTCCTTCCGGTTCCAAGATACGGCGACTTCTGGTCCAGCTTTGACCGGGTATATCTCAGAAACTAAAGCGACTTGGAGCTCGAAACTCCGGGTGTGGGGAGCCGCCCAGGGTCCCATCCCCAGCTCCTGAGATACGGCCACTTCCTGTCCAGGTTTGACCGGATGAATCTCGGAAACCAAGCCGAGTTGGAACTCCTAACTCGGGGAGTGGGGAGGTACCAATGGGACCTCCAATACCCTAGAGTTTGAGCCCCAAGTCGGCGTGGTTCTGGACTTATTCACGGTCAAAAACCAATAAAAGCATGTGTCCACGATCCCACTTTTTGTCCAAAAACCCACTATTTTTAAAAAAAGTATTAACCCCGGCCTTCATGCAATAAGCTGCAATTGGACAGAATCCCGCCTGCAATCTATTGAATGGGGATTTTGGTTAGTGTACATTTGATGGACATTTTAATTAAAGTTCCTGTCAAGATGAAAACCATTTATCTGCACTCAGTCCATAGAACCAAGTCCATAGAACCAAGCGCCATCCCATAATTCCAATTCCAATATGCTTGACTATGACAACTTGTTCAACCATTTTGCATGTAAAGACTTATGTTATGAACTAATGCCAACAGAGACCCATTATAATCATTTTGATCAACATGACATAAGCAATTCATAATGTAGGACACAGCAGAGAATTGTACATAATCATTTGCATGGATGTACAGTACACAATGTGAAGATTGAATGGGTAGTTTTGAGAATTTCAATTATGATCTGAGAAATGTACCAAAGAGACTGAGAAAACTTGTCCTCTTTACCGTATTGCTCCTGTGCAAACATTTATTGACAACATTGTTATAAGTCTAGTCTCAAATATTTTTATTTGCCACTTGAACAGAATATCCAGTTAACTGCTGCATTCATTGGTCCATATCAACCAAATAACATTAAAACTTTGGTACATTCATTTTGTGCTTTGCTTTTCCTCCCAAATGGCTTGATTTAGTTTATGCTGTGGTACAACATTAGGTAAATAAAAAAGTTCAGTCTAAGAAATAACTCCTAGAAAATACCACACAACATTAGTGTTGATTTTATGTTTGTTCACTTCTCTCGAGCTCGAGTCAACATGCAGTGTTATGTCCCTTTTTTAACGGTGAGTTCCGGTCCTGGCTTATGATTGGTCAGAACAGCGTTCCACCAACTATGACGCCAAACACCTGTTGACATCACTGAAGCGCAGAAGTTTTCGGTCAGTCAGGACAGGAGGAACATGTTCTAGTGCGAAAGATGCCGCTTTACCACATGTGTATTTGCTTAACGTTTAATATCTTTATCATTTATAGACTATCTAATAAAAGCAATAGGCACTTGAGGCCGTTTCACAATAATCCGCAGCCTCACGTAGCTACATTATTGCTTAATAGAGCTCAATTTCCGAATCGCTTAATCAGTGTTAGTGCAAAGAGAGTAATTACTCTGTTAGAAGAAGTGATATGAAAAAATCATCTTACAAAACGTATTTTTTTTTGCTGAAACCTAATGAATTAATTCCTGAAAAGCATGACGACTGTCCTTCATTTACTAACTTAGAGCGAATTACGTACAAATTGCGCATTCAAAATATTATATAGTCATGTTTACAATCTAGGAGTGGTTCCCATTTGGTATCCTTTTAAAAACAGAGAAAAATTCATTTATATACATCATAATTCTGGGGGTAAAAAAATGGACCAGAGCACTATTCTCTGAGAAGTTTCATGGCATGACAAAGTTACATAGGCCTACACTTTGTTCTGGTACATGAGCATTAAACTGATTTAAAGAACCGAGTGAAGATAGAGCCATTAATACAAGGCACAAAGTCAGTCAAACAGAGCACTTGTCCAGGCTCTTTTGTTAACGCTGCAATGCGTTTCTTGGATAATTGCGTATTATATTTACATTAAGTATAAGAAATATTACAACATAACGATTAACAATAATATAAACTTAGATAGATCAATATTGGTTATAAGAAATAATACTGACTCAACAGAAAGGCACTTCTTTGTAACCATAGTACTGGTCTAGGTTAAAATACTGGAGACAGGCTATTCTGTGCCAGGTAGAGGAAAAGGATTAACAAATAATTTGTTCATACTTAAAGAACTGTACAAACGGAATCAGTGACCTCAGCGCTATCCCACTAGACGAAGTCATGCTTAAATTGCACAATAAGAGGAGATCCACGTTAATGCGCCTGCCGTTGGAAGGCTCTTCAAGGTCAGCAGGCTAGTGTTACTGCTATTATTCCTGTGCCAACACAAGCTTTTACCAACGCTCCTTAGGATTTGCGTGCGCAAGCGTTCATGAGGCCAGGTTGGCAGTCTGTGCTGTAATGGCTTTTTTGAAAGAGCCTCCAGTGCACAATCCAAAAAGGATTTCCATAAATAAATAACTTCCCCACCCCCTTAAAACCAAAAGACATTGTTTTGGTCCTGCACTTCCCTCAGTCACCGTGAATTGCAGGAAGATGCCATTTCAGAAAGCGGGGGGAGAGTAGCAGAGGGTGAGTGAGTGAGGGGTCTTTAGGGTCGCTTCCACCCATTCCGGATCACCGCGTCAGCTCGCAGGAAGGGCTGGCTTCGGAGATCTGTGAGTGGGGAGGGAGAGAGTTAGAGTTAGATCAGGGAACACTCAGGATAGCAGGGGTCATTCTTAGCACCTCAGTTGGCTGCAAATAATTGCTGTCATTGCTTGATTTTTTTTTTTTTTTTTTTTGCTTTTGGCTTCCGAGATCTTAAAGAAACAGTTTACCCAAAAATTTGATGCTGTCATTTACCCATCCTCAGGTTGTTTATGCTTTTATCTTTGAAAGGAGATATTCAACATAATGTTGACACTGTTTGTATCCTTACTTACAACGAAAGCCGTGACCGGCAACTTTCAAGCTCCAAAAGGGACATAAAACGTATACAAAACTATCGAATATAATCGTTTTGGAGCCTGAAAGCAATTGGTCACGTCTAAATTTTTTATACATTAGCGTTTGGAACGACATGAGGGTGAGAAAATGATGACAGAATTTTCATTTTTAGGTGAACTAACACTTTAAAGTATTAAAATATGCAGTTAAAATTAATCTCAAAACTGCTTGTAGTATAAAGCATACAATGTAAAACATTAACAAAGACCACAAAATATGATCACTGCAGTAAGACCATTTAGCACATTACAAATACGTTTGAACTGATGGATTCTGTGTTCAGCAAGGTCTTGAAAGATACTATAACATTTCTGTACATAATGAAACACTGTATCACCAAATGACCATTACATGTACTGTAGATCTTGCTGAACAGAACACAGATTTGCATGCATGTGACGATATACAGCGGAGGACATACGTAAACATGTTAGCTAAATGGCACAATGCAAAGATACAGCAGACAAACAGCTTTACATGCAACGGACATGACAAGAAAAAGATTTCATTCCTGGATCCTTCCAAAAGATCTAAGAAAATACTGTGGAAAAGCTACAATTATACTAGCAAAATAATATTTAGTTTAGTGACATCCAAAGTTTAGTTTGTAATAATATTAGATCTCTACAAACTATCACCACCATCATGTGGTAGTTTGTTGTGTGCTATAAAAACAGCCTTAAGGCTAAATATCTTGTATTGCTTTCACACAGTGAAATATCATAAACCATATAATTAGCAATGCAAAAAAAGCAATATTCAGTACAAGACTACATTTGGCCACATAAGCTTCAGCGCTGTAGCGTTGTGCAAAATGTAGCACAGCCAAAGCAATTGAGCTGACGGTAAAAAGGCAGACAGGAGCAAAGCGAGATAAAGCTCCATGATGCCTTTCTTACCCTCCAATTATTTTGTGCTCAAATTTACTCAGATTAATCCCCTGTTCTGCTGGAAAGGTAGAACACACAGTTATGGGGGAGAAGATGAGAGTTAGCAGATAACAAACCAAGTGAAACATAACAAGGACTGCTACACAGGCCAAATCTCTCTCAATCTGGACAATATGACAAATAAAAGGACCTATGATTAGAACATAGATTAATATTAGTTCAAATCTGCATTTTATATTATATTTATTATATACTAATGCATTGTCACTTAATTTGTCATTATTCCCTTAAGAAAGATTTGGCCTGTCCATGTTTCAGATCTGTGAACAGCCACAGCTTGTGTTTCCCACTATTCTGTTGTGCTTGGGTTAGTAGAGGATGCTGGGTAACCAGAGTGACAGAGTGGGTCATGCGAGTGGTGGGAGTATGCATGCACTTTGCAACTGGTAAGAGAACGGGATAACCTGCGGCATTAGGGGCAGTTTTTGGGGGGGGTTTGGGGGGCTAGCAGATGGACTCGTCGAAGAGGTTGGTATCGCAGAAGAAGCGCGAGCCCCGTTTGGCCGTGCGGGCAGTGAAGGGCACACTCTTCAGCACTGAGGGAGGGAGGGAAGGAGGTCAGAGACAGAACCTTATATCCGAGCTTAAGAAGGACCATGTGTTCCGAAAAAAAAATAAACCATTCGTTTTGATCTTTGCAACTTCCTGGCTTTTTTTTTGTGTGTGTGCAAGATGTTCTCAACCTTATGGAACAGCCATAGCAAACTTATTTCAACTTTTGGTTTATCAAACAATTCTGAAAAGGTATCACACATTCCATAAAAATATTAAGTATTTTAAAAAACACTGATAATAATAAGACTTATTTCTCACGCAGCAAATCAGCATATTAGAATGATTACGTGACACTGAGGACACAGCTTTGCCATCACAGGACTAAATTACAACTTAAAATATAGAAAAAGTATAAAAAATTGACAAAATTACTGTTTTGATCAAATAAATTTCAGTGGCAGGAGAGGAAAAAGTGACTATTCTTCATTCTATCAATAATATATACAGTATATGGCTTCATAAGTCTGGAGCATTGTTTATGAAATGTTAAAGTATCAATTTTAGAATTTTAACTGATTATGTGTGAGTTATGTGGTTCATTATTACATAAATAGCCTTGTCTGAGAACATTGTTTAAAAAAATAAAATTAAAAAATAATTATCTATTATTAACACAATGAATTTAAGGGTGTTATTTCTTCCTGGACAGTTTCTGCAATATCTTCTATATGCATCCTCTATGATTTCTTTACATACTTCAGAAAGAAGAGCTTAGTTAATACACCATATAGTTATTTCTGTGGATCCCTGAGAGTTGATTCAAATGTCATTGCTTTGTTTTAACTGATGTGCACTTGTAAAGTGTGCTGATCGAGCTGTAAGGGCTGTTGTTTAACATAACAGAGAGTACATTGCTGATGCGGAGAGCAGTGGACCACCACAGTGATTCTGGACCCCTGGCTGATGGGTACTGCAGTCCTTCCTAGCCCACCTGTGATAATGTCTTCAATGGTGCCGTCTTTGCCCTCATATACAGGCCGGTGGTCCTTGGCCTGTCTGCGCCGGAGCTCTGCGATCAAATCCTGCTGCTGAAGTCGCTTCTTTTGAGCCTGGACCTGCATTGAGGAAACGAGAAATATATTCACCACTTATTGCACTCATTTTTAAATATTTAAAAGAATCAGGGGCAAATTTTTTTTTTTAACCTGAAGCACCATTAACCAATTGCATAAATTATTGGTAACACTTTAAAATAAGGTCCTGATACTTAATGCATTAACTAACCATGGGCAATATCTTTACTGTATGTTAATATGTTACAGTATTTATTAATATTCCTTATTGTTGACCGAGTGGGTCTCTGAGATGGTGTGAGTGAGTGGAGGCGGGGCGAATTTGCATAATCATGAATCCGTGTATACTAAACGAAGCGAGGGTGTAGAGTTACAAGGAGGACTTCAAATAATGTTAAAGGCTTCTTGAGGGACTGGCTCTTGCTGTCCTCGAAAAGTCATTAAAGACATTGTTAAAATAGTCCAAGTGACTACAGGGGCTCAATCTTAAGTTTATCAAACGACGAGAACACTTTTGTGCGCAAAAAAAACAACAAAAATAACGACTTTACTTCAACTATTCGTTTATTTCTCCCTCTGCGCGAGTCAGGTTACTAGTTTAATAGCGTAAGCTTCTGTTATTGTACGTCACACGCATCACACACACATGACCAGCGTCGGCCAATAGTGAGCCTACGTGTGACGTAGCTCTACGCAATCACACTACGTTAACTGACTTACAGGCTTATGGAGAAGGAAGTGAATAGTTGAAATAAAGTCGTTATTTTTGTTGTTTTTTTGCGCACAAAAGTGTTCTCGTCGTTTGATAAACTTAAGATTGAGCCCATGTAGTCACTTGGACTATTTTAACGATGTCTTTAATGACTTTTCGGGGACAGCAAGAGCCAGTCCCTCAAGAAGCCTATGGACTGTATGCAGGAGCGATCTTAATATCTTAAATATCTTAATTTGTGTTCCGAAGATGAACGAAGGTCTTACGGGGTTGGAACAACATGAGGGTGAGTAAATACTGACAGAATTTTCATTTTTGGGTGAACTAACCCTTTAACAAAGTGAACCCTATTGTAAAATGTCACCCACCTTTTACATTCTAGTATGAAAAACATATTAAGGGTGGGGGTATTTTAGTTATTTTTCACAGGTTCAGATTTCACCTTGGGGTCGTGCTGTTTGGCCTCCTGTGCTAGTAGTTTTTCTCTCATGGCTTCCTCTTGCTTCTTCTTCTGTTCGTTTTCCTCCACAGCCTCCTGCAGAAAACAACAGTTTGTAACTTAGAGAGATAAGTTATGATAGGTAGAGATGTAAGTGTGATCCGGGCCCTGACACTGCACAAAACACAGGCCACGACCTCACATCTAAACAATCACAGCAACCTCTGAGAAGGGATATGAATATGGACGAACACAAACACACAGAGATCTTGGAGCTTTTTGCGGTTCCTCATGTAGACTCATAAATCCACCAGCAGAACAATGTGAGGAAGAGGTGTGTGTATGCGTGTGTGTCCGGGTTAAAGGCGGTGAAGGCAAAACCCAGTCTAAACAGAGCAGCTGCCCTTAAATCTCAGCCCAGCTGCCCCTTCCTGTTATTCACCCTCTGCTAACGTCTGCTACTCCACCCCAGCGCTCTCTGACGCTTCAACAGGGAAGACACTCAAACTAGGATGGCCAAAGGATATAAACACACATAGAAAGTGTGTGTGTCCTTTCAGGGTTTCAACCTACAACCTTTCAATTAGCAGGCCAGATCTTTCACCACTTCATGTTTACTAAACACGCCAGGAAGCAGATCATGTGGACTATTCCTTCCTGTCCTCAATGACTTGAAAGCAGGTCGGGTTCACCTTCCCCCTGAGGCTTAGAAATTAAAAGTCTCTTCCTGACCTGATGAATATACGGAGCCACAAATGTGTTTCCTCCTTGTCAAAATATGAAGATTCATTATCTGTTAGTTAGTGTGCTGTGCCTAGAACTGCTGAGTGAATAACTGAATGGATTACCTTGTAGGCTCTGATGAACCGTACAAACACTGGGAAGAAGACAGAGGGCGGCGTGGTCTTAGGACTTTCCCCAAAGTAATGAACCACATTGTTGAAGGCCTCCTGTAAGTGGATACAATGTGAGATTGAAATAACCTGGTACTGTTTAATTGCCAGAAAGTGTTTTCTAAAAGGACAGACAGGACACCTCAGCAGTCTTGGCGTCTTTCTGTAGTTTGTCCAGCTGTGTATCGCTGGTCTGGTGGAAGCTCTTGAGTATGGCGTGGTCGTGCAGACTGCACTCTCTCCTGACCAGATCCATGCCCTTGCCGAGCTCCTTAACATCCAACAACACGTTCTCCAGGGACACTGTCACCGAAGATTTGAAATGAATGTAGTTACAGTTAAAATGGAAAAAAAAAAAATCCAAAGAAATGAATATAATTGCTGTATAGTAGAGTTTCCAGTTACTTTTTCGGTGTGAATCACCCATTAAGATAATCATACACACCACTTAAAGGTATTTCCATAAACATTACATAGCACATTTAAAATGGTACCTATTAGAAATGTAGGTGTCACTTCATAATACATATTCATTTGTTAACATTAGTTAATGCTTTAGGTATCATTAACTGACAATTTAGGTTAATGAAAATGCCTGCATATACTAATGAATAACATTCATTAATTTTTTTAATATTTCAGGTTGTATAAATTACTCATTATAACTGTGTTATGAATGAACAGGAAGTAACAATGTACAATAATATATTTATAAATATACAGTGGTAGATTAATAAATTCTATTTAATTCTATTCTATTTAATAACTTTAATGAATTAAACCTTATTGGAAAATTTATTCTTCCACTACAATTCAAAAGTTTAGGGTCAGTAAGACTTTTTTTTTAAAAAGAAATTAACACATTCATTCACCAGTACAAATGTATCAAATGATGATGTGTCTGATTGCATCAGAGGTCTATTTCAATAAATACTGTTCTTTTTAACTTTCTATTCAGAAAAAAACTGCATCACGTTTCAACAAAAAATATTAAGCAGCAGATACATGTTTCGTGAGCACCAAATCAGAATATTCGAATGAATTCTGAAGGATCATGAGACACTGAAGACTGGAGTAATGACGCTGAAAATACAGCTTTGCCATCACAGGAAGAAATTAATTTTTTTAATATATTAAAATAGAAAGTAGTTATTATAAATTGTAATATTATTTCACAATATTACTGTATTTTTATCGAATGAACTGAGACTTCTTACAAAAACAAAAACAAAAATACTGACCCGAATCTTTTGAACGGTAAAGTGTTTTTCACTATATTTAATAAATTCATAAATAAATGATTTGAATCAATGCTCTAATTTACCCCAAACACAAAGCATGAATTAATTAATTTCCTCTGCTGTGTAACTTTCTTTGAATTGCCATTCTGTACAATTCCTCTTTTTGTATTTCTAATTTAAATTCCAATTTGACGTCCTAAGGGACATGGTCAATTCGATTCAAATTCCAACCCTGTAGGACACAGACCTGCAGCAGCTTTATCCACAAAGTGCAGTTCATTGTAGAAGGTAGCCAGTTCAGGATATTTCTCTTTGACGACCAGAGCAATGTAGTGGAGCAGTGTCATCTTCCTGTCAGTAGACTTAGTATCTAGCAGCTGAGAGAGAACAACAACAGCATAAGAACAGCACTGTGATCAGGTAGAAAGCCACTTCTACAACCAAGCTCACCAGATCCAGACTCTGAAGTTTGAAACCATACACTGAGCCTCTTTTACTACTGTTCATGTAGTTGCCCACGGCCAGAATTATCTGTGTGGAGACAAAAAACAAACAAACAGAAAGTTAAGCATAACGCTAGACAAATTTCAGCTGATCTTGAGCCTTTATAATGAAGACAAGTAGACATTTACTTCAAGAATCCTCTTTAACTTTGGAGAGGACTTCACTGAAGCTGATGCCGCGATGATGGCATTGAGTTGCTGTGGATGTCAAAGAGTTAAAGAGATGTCAATTCATGATATGATCAAGGTGACCATGATATTGGCAAGAACGTGTTTCTGTATAAACATCTGTTGTTGTTCCAGGAATAAAATCAAACAAACATACTTTACCACAAGCCTAACAACTCTAAAATCAGCGAGTAATGACAGGTTGATAAGTCTACGCCTATGCCTACGCCTAAAATGTAAATGCTGTTCCACTAACAACAATGATGTTGCAAAAAAAAATAAAATACAAATGATCTACATTATATACAAAAAAAATCCCCAGCTTTCCATTTGTTGACAATCATAGTTGCTCACCGGGGTCAGCATGTTGACATTATCACTGAAGTTGCCCACAAACGTGATTATGCTCATTCTCTGAGTGAGCCGCTCAATCTTGCTGAAGAAGAGCATGAAGCGGTCTTCCTCGGCAAGCTGGTCCAGAGGTCTCCTCTCCCGCTCGTACTGACGCATTAGTTTGCTCTCAGCATCCGTGGGCAGGAACCGCATCAGGCATTCCACAAAGTCCACCGGCAGGGCCTTCAGATCAAACCTGCAACATGGAAATTGCATCATATTCATCTAAGATGACATTATTGAGAAGATGAAGACACAATATGACGAAAACCTTGAGTATGTGCGTACGTTTGAATGGCTTTGCAAATCTCCTCTGTGGTCTTGTTTGCCTTGCGCAGAGTGATGGCCAAGTTCTTTGAGCGATTGGCATCAAGTAGCTGCACTTTATTAATGGCCTTCTGGGAAACCTTGCTCTTTGAGCATGACAGATCCACCACAGGACCCTGAGCTTTAGTCTTGAACAGCTCCTCAAACTTCTCCAGGTCTAATTCCTACATGACAGAACAAAAGCACTTAGGAGGAGTGAGGAGTTTCAAGGAACACACTCATAATATGTGCACATCTGATTCACGCTCAATATTACCTCAAGCACACGTTCATCGTCGATCTCGTTGAAGACTGTGCCATTGATCTGGTTGGGTTTCAGTGCAGCCCAGTTGAAGACAGGAAGGCGGAACTTGGTTTTTATGGGTTTCTTGATGCGTATGGCTATGAGACATGAAGAAACATAAGGGTCATACAATACCTTAACTAACTTAGAATATATTTATATATGTATGTATATAGTTGTGCATGTCAAGATACTGTAATACAGTTTTCTTAGTACTATTTTAAATGATGTATTACCCGATAAGCCAGCAGTAAAGATGACTGGTGATGGTCCGGGCAGAGGTGGAGGAGGTGGAGGAGGAATAGGAACACACTCGACTATAAAACAAGAGAGATTTTATAAATTAGCATGTGCTTATTTTCACTTACTCTTAAAACGCTTCCTAAACAGTTAAAAACCTTAATGGATATTTAGTTAGTTCCAGTCCAGCTGCTTCCTCAGCAGAAACCGCTCCTTAGCTAAAGGAAACACCCTTAGCTTTTCCTTTTCCTGCTAAGTGTGCAACGACTTGTACATTTGAAGGTCTGTAGCTCAGAGAGAAACAGCGTGCACAGCTTTGCCTTGTTTTCCGGGTTACCTTACTCTACAATAACTCTAATAATCTCCATAATCTTGAGCTTCAAGGGAATCCCTACATACCCGCTTTCCATTGACAGTGAGCTTGCGCTTGTGCCAAATCAAATATTTACCCTGTTCGCCTAAAATCAAACGATTCCTTTAATGTTATGTTATTTTATATATATGAAGAGTTCAGATGCAAAAGCCTCTAAGTGCCATTTGAAATTTTCTTCTAGAATGATCATTTTTATCAAGCTTGTATATTTAAGTTCAGTGATTTCACTTAAATGGCAATGATAATTACCTATTAATTGTTATTTAAGTGAAATTACTGAACTTAAATATACAAGTTTGATAAAAATCATCATTAAAGAAGAAAATTTCAAATGGCATTTAGAGGCTTTTGCATCTGAACTCTTCATATGTACACTACCGTTAAGTAAGGTTTTTTTGTTACTTTTATTCAGCAAGGATGAAGTAAATTGATCGTAAGTGATAGTAATTAAAGTAATTAAAACATGTAAAATTACAAAAGATTTCTATTACAAATAAATGTTGCAATTTCAAATAGGTGAGCATCTCCCTCTCTATCCCTCTTATGGAAGGTTTGTACTGCAAATTCAAATATAGAAGGGTAAAATTGCAGAGATTGTCATGCATACAAGTATCTTTTGTCACATAAAATCTGCTTTGAGTCTCCAAGAGGACCTCCCATGAAGATTTTTGATAGCTTATTGCATAATGAATATATGTGATATTATAAAGTGAATTTCATATGCAAAACATACATTCACCCTATTTTTTTCCTGGCTATTTTCTGAGTACCTTCTGAAGGGAGCGGTGGGGCCGGTGGAGGTGGTGGTGGTGGTGGCGGGGGTGGAGCAACGGCTTCAATAGGAGCGACTGAAGTGACACCCGGACCTCCAGTCCCAATCATGCTTGCAGTTAGTGAGTTCAGGTCTCTCAAAGGAGCTCCAGCTGCTCCTCCACCACCCAGAGCCTCAATGGCAATGTCCCCATCAGGCTGCTTGCGTAATCGGATGGTGCCCTGCTGCTCCATCTCCAACAGCCGCTTCTCGATGTTGTTGTGCCTCTGGAAGGCAGCATCCTTCTCCTGGATCATCCGCCGCAGTGTGTGCACCTGTGTGCTGGCGGACTCATACGTCTCCTGGATAACCATGGGAAGGAAGAAAGAGCAGTCAAGAGTCAAGGATGATGGGGTACATACAACATATGTACAGTAAATACCCCCCCCCCCCCCCCAAAAAAAAAAAAAAATACTATGGTGGATAGATGGTTGTCAGTCCTGTTTTGAGTACTAAATATGGTTCGGTTCATGCAAATTCTGTTTGGTTATGACTCAAAGATGATACTGTATGTGATACTATATTTTGATATATAAACATGAACCCTTTTTAACATTTAAGGAGGTCTCAGAGTAAACTTCTGTAGTGAGGAACTGATGATACTGATGATTTTTGCTTTTATTTTTGCCCCAATAGCAAAGGAAAAATTCCACTATCCATGAAACAGCATTTTATGACTTTCCAAAAAAGGAAGAAAAAAATATGAAGAGATTAAGTTGGTCAGAATCCATCAATACAATACTCAACTTTGCTTTACAATGTTAATAACTGAAAAGGGTCCACTGTAGTGAATGATTATCATAATTACTTGCCATAGTATTTTCTTTAACAGTACTTTAAAGAACCACCTAGTAGTAGACATCCAAATTTCTCTCTCTCTCTCTCTCTCTCTCTCCATATATATATACATGGAGAGAGAGAGAGAGAGAGAGAGATTTTACAGAGAATTTACAAGACATTCAATTTAAATGACATCTTAAGTAACTATGAATTAAATTAAATCAAAGTGTGAGTGATATAAGAAAAAAATTATATTATGATGCTCTTTGGTACACTAGTTTGGGGTCAGTACGAACTACAAAAAAAGTTTCAACAAAAATATGAAATAGCAATGTTTTCAACACTGATAATAATAAGAAATGTTTCTTGAACAACAAATCAGCATACCAGCATATAAAAAGCTTGTTTGTACCATGGTAAACGTCCACGGTATGTTATTAAACATTTATACATCTAGTAACCAGACCATGCAAAAGCAACAAATGATTAATAATCAGTCCTTACTAATGAGATATTCTTGATTACATTTGTCATCATCATTATTACTTATTCAAATTATATGTCATACTTCTATGTATAAATAAATAATTATATGAGCTATTTGCATGTCAAGCTCAAGAGTGAAGGTGATATAAGTGATTGATCGTTGCCTACCTTTATGGCTGACAGTTCCTTGTCTTTGTGTAACAGCTGTTTCTCCAGGTCTGCTACCTTCATCATGGTCTCATTTTCAACATCTAGAAGCTTCTCTGTCACCTAGAACAAAAACAAAGGGAGCAAACATGACAGTGTGAGAGGTGGCAGGGAAAAAAATGAGAGGAGAGAGGCAGTTCAGAGCATTGATACTATAAACATCTATCCCATACCCTTTTAAGCTTTCTTCTGTCTCTCACTCTCTTACGGATCAATAAAGAAAATGTTCCCAGCAGTATGACACAGCAGATGAGGCAGCATCACTTTCACTTTTGAAGCAGTGGAGATTACACAATTGGTGGAATATTTGGGGAATTCTGTCCTCCACCCCCAGCGAGAGCAAAAGGATTGTTATGATTCTTGGTTCATTTCATGACCTTTGCCATGAGCATAACATAGTCCAGCAGAAAGGCCCACTACTGCGTCAAGATCAGAGGAACAATATGAGGTTTGTTTTCACACTGTCTGCATACTGCGATTTACAGGCCAGTGTGTGATAAACTAAAGCACTTTTAAAAGTCCATTCAGTCTACAAATATAAATTATATTTTAAGATCCCTCTGCACCAAAAGTGAATGATTAAGCTGTGCATGCTGCTTTATGCTGTGGTGGTGAATGATAGGGAATAACTCTGAATTCCCTGAACTCAGTGAACTCTGATAAGGGTCAATAAGATATTAGAAGTGACAACATGGACAACTGAACACAAAATTTACTGCTATGGATGGATGGATAGATAGATAGATTAATTGATTTTCAAAGTCATGTATATTGCAACATTATCCATATATTTTTTTTACAATATAATCTGCTCTGCATCATTTTTAATGTAACTCAGGAAGATTTACTCATTTTACTTTTTTCTGGTTCTAAAGATTCTCCATCATATGAAATGTCGACTGATAATTGGTATTATATTACCATTCTACACATTATGTTTTAATAATAATAATAACATTTAGCAATGGAAGGAAAGGGAGTATCCAACGGTTCTTACATGTGACAAATGCTCTTCCAGCTCATCCACTTTCTCCAGGGCCACATTCTTTGTTTCAGCGTCTTCCAACAAACCTCCGACATCAAACACGTTATCCAGATAAGCCTGGATCTGCACAGACAACTTATCACTCTCTGTGTGCTTGGATTTCTGTGAGGAAACACAGGGGATTTCAGAATATTTTATCATGTGGTTACTCTTCAGAGTTTAAGAATATATTCTGTTTGACTTAATTATTTATTAGCATTTCAAATAAAACATTTGACTTGCCCATTTAAACACTGAATAATTTGAGAGTATTTTGAACATTGACTAAATACCTCCAGGAAGTCATCAAGCCCCAGCTTAGTGAACTCATACTGCAGATGTACACGGAAGTTCATGTCCTCCACAGAATGAACCACAATATTGATGAACTGCATACAGGCCACCTGAGACACAAACACATTCATATCTCGCACAATCAAAACTGGTACAAAAATACCCAAGTGCTTTCATGCACCTACCATGAAGTCGATGTTCCCATCTTCACTACGGAAATACTCCATCAGCTTTTCAAAGCGGTGCTTCTCCTTACAAACCTGCAGATATTTTTATTTAGACAATCACAGAAACACAGTAACCCCTGAGTACAGTCAGATAGTTCAAGTGTTAAATAATAAAGTGTGATAGACAACAATATGCTCACAAATAAACATCCTACTTAGAACACTTTGAGAAGAAAAACATAACAGAACACATTATTGCGTTTTCTATTTCTCAAAACAGCAGGGTATGAGATTATGGGGTTCAGAGGAGATGAGATGGACAATTCAGATCAGGAAAAAGTCAGACTACTTTATAGACTTTATGGGAAAAGAGTGGGATCAAAGGGGCAAAGGAGCAATGTTAGGCCTCATGTTTCACCATAGAAAAATGGAAACTTGCAGAATATGCTGCTATTAAAGGAGTAGTTCACTTTGCAAAAAACCTTTGCTGATAACTTACTCACCCCCACGTCATCCAAGATGATGTCTTTCTTTCTTCAGTCAAAAAGAAATTAAGGTTTTTGATAAAAACATTCCAGCATTTTTCTCCATATATATTGGACTTCAGTGGGAACCAAATGGTTCAAGGTCCAAAAGACAGTTTAGTGAAAACTGTTCAAACTGGGCTTTAAACTATTCCAGACAAAATTCATTTGTTTGAATGAAACAAATGAATTGGAAACAGATTCGTTTTCGAATGCTTCGAAGAACGAGTTCGAAAAGGATAGTCACAAACGTGCGTCACAGAACAGAGCAAGGCGAGCATTTGAGCTTATAAACTTTGTTATGTATTTATTAAATGAGCTATTGTTTCGCTTGATAAGACCCTTATTCATCGCCTGGAATCATTTAAAGCCCTTTGAACAGTTTGCAGTTTGTATTGAAAGTGTCTTTTGGACCTTGAACCGTTTGGTTCCCACTGAAGTGCATTATATGGGGAAAAATCATGGAATGTTTTCATTCAAAAACCTTAATTTCTTTTCAACTGAAGAAAGAATGATATGGATATCTTGGATGACATGGAGGTGAGTAAATTATCAGCAAAACTACTCCTTTAACAATACTATTTAATATTCAAAATTCTTCAATCAGCTTCTTGCCTAGGTCAATAATGCCCTGCTGAATTAAATGTGGAACATTTAATTCTTTAGTCTAAATTCAAAGTTAGTTCAACCACAGACTCTTTGAGTCTGCAGACAGCATATCACATCAGTCTCTCTCACAGTATTGTTGTAACTGCTGTGTTGATAAGCTCTCCTACTTTCTCAGGATAGAGTTGGACAGTTACGGGGTAATTGGCCCATTTCCGGTATTTAAATGACTAGGCAAACAAAACTGAGAGGTTGAGTGAACGGTTGAGTCTGCAGGCAATTCACTCCCCCCAAAACACAGATCTTTATCAAAGATGTGGGTTTAATAAAACGACTGGCTTAAAATGTGGTGTTTTCCCACAGATGCATTTGGGAAGCAAAAAAGATATTGCCAGCTAATTGGCTTTGTATGTGCACAAACTAAAACAAAACAACTTTCTTTTTACATTTTATACAGCATCTGTGGTTATTGTAATACACATGCAGGTGTATATATCCCAGGATCTACCTCTTTGAAGTTATCAAACGCTGAGAGGATGATTTCATGACCACCTCGCACCAAACATACAGCAGCCAGCAGCTCCAGGACCAGCGCCTTTGTTCTATAAGCAGAACAAAAGCTTCTGTGAGCATTCAACTGGCCTAGAGTGGCAGAGCAGGATTTGCACAATAAGACGGGTAACATTATCAACTTGACAGATCATCACCCACCCACACCTGCTTAGATCTATCCTTCAAGGAGAACAGCAGCTTTTTGTCCATTGTTATACAATTTTCAAAATCAGAAATGTGATATCGCACTTTCATCTTGAGCCTCTCATAGGGGTCAGGTCTGATGTTGAGTATCAGTAATTGTAGTTGGGGTCAATTTTTCAGAGATGTTTTGAAATGACACAATCCCAGAAAACCTTTATAGCTGTGATTGAGTGATAGATTAGTGCACTGATTCATTGAGCTCAAGGAACGATGCTGAGGCTGGGGTTTTTCCATGCTTCAGTCTAAAATGATCTAAGCTTTCAACATGCAATTAGTCAGACTGACAGTAATCCGCTCTAAAGGGTTCATTCTAACCAAACAAATGCACAACTCTAATCTCCAACTTCACACCCTAATGAAAACTAAAGGCCACTGAAAGTATTGTATTTAAAAGGCTCCTTTGCTAGCTACTTACACTGTAAAAAAAATAACATCATTTTTAATTACAAGTAAAAGACTAAAAATGTTATGGTAAAAACCTGTTAATTGGTTCGCATATTCTATACAATCAAAAAGTATAATAGATCTAATGAAACATTTTATGTAATTTTACAGTGAAATACTCATAAATGTACAGTTTCTGGAAGTGAAAAAGATCAAGTCTAGATTAATTGACTGTTCACACAGAATGTTTTTTTCCATTGCACTGCGCTGCTTTTCCGTTGTTTCTTATGTAAACACGGATGAGACTGACCTCTGCGCTCTGACATTACTTTCTAAAAAAGAGGAACTCAAGTTAAAACAATGTGTCTCCAGACCTTGCTTTTTCACATTTTATTGCCCTGATACTCATTTTTTTTAAACATAAAAACATGTTCTGTCCCTTAAAACTATTAAACAATAACCTAATTCTTACCTTGAGTTCTTATTGTTCAAACTCAGGGCAATTTCATTGACCGCATGCGCATGAGACATGACGAGGTTGAAGCCATACTAGGGAAAGAAAGGAAAAACCAATGTGGTTTGAGTATATAAAAAAAAACATTTACCCCATGGAATGGTTATTGAATAAAAATGTTGTGCTGCCTTTGTAAAATGGACAGACACTGATATGAAAAACTATCTGGATTAGTTCTTGTGTTTGATAAGGTTTCAGAATGGGCAGACATCCCCAAGGTTTTTGTGACCAATCAGGTCTGTGCATCCTGTACCTGATAGTTCATGATTGCTCTGAGGCACATGATGCACACGTGTACATCGTCCTTTTGACTGACTAATCTGGAGTTCTTGATGGTTTTGCTGTTGGAAGTTGAGCCATAGCTGTAATATAAGGACAAATTTAGTAGTTCACAAGCGCAGTGTTTGATTTGACAGAATCATACACGCCACATAAAGAAATACTTTCATTCGTGTGAGTTGTCTACCCTCAGGAAGTGTGGCTTTGGCTTAGTGGGCAAAATAATGCACGCATGTGACTCCTAGCTTCGGTGCAAAGCACTAATGTTCCTTTCATAGCATGAGCATTCTTATAACCAGTGAAGTGATACAGGAAGCTAACTGACAAGTCAGTAACAACAGTTGACACTTTCCTCAAATAGGGATTAATTACTCATGAAACAATGCAAAAAGAGGCTAAACATTTTTATGTGAAAACTATTATATTTATTATAGTAATTATCCAGCATAAAATGGACCTAGTATGAGTAGATAGTTTAAAACACATTAAACAGTTGTATTAAAATCCTGCATTAAAATGGTTGTATTAAAAAAAAATCATATTTGATACATCAGGCCATTATAAGATTATAAAGGAGAATTTGGTGCTCATTCTTAGGGGTGGGGGGGGGGGGGCTCAGTTTTATTCAGAGGTCCAAAATGAGCAAAAAATATGCAAATAGGCCCAGTTGCTGATAATAATATGACAAAATGTAGAAGTTCTGATAGTTTGTGTAAATCAATAAGATCTTTAAAACAGTATAGCAGACTACTCAAGATCCATATAAATATAAATTATCACTTAATATAAAAGATTAAAATATATATATATTCTTATGTTTACTTTTATAGAAATCAGTAAATATTTCACAGCAAAAACACATATACCATGACCTGAAGATGGAGTTTTTTTTAAATGATGCTAAAAGTCCTTTTTACTTGCTAAAAAAGTTTAAACTAATAATCACATGACAGAAGGCATGAAGTAGATTTAGTTTTGATCATGGTAATAATTTAGAGGCCTTCGAATTTTGCATTTCAAATATTTGGGTTGGCTTTATATGGTTATTTTTTTAGGACTTTGAGGCTCTTTTTTTACCCTGTTCTTGGAAAGTGCCAGTTCTTCAAGCTTCTTAAAAAAAAAAAAAAAGTAAGAATAATAATTAAAAAAAAATGTAACACTCTCCAAACTACATTAACTATTACCAGCAGCCTGAACCAAACCAATGCAAATTATCATAAAAGCGAACATACAGTCGTTTTAAAGCGAGGCAGAGCATAGCAAGCACAAGCAGGCCAGTACATACCGGAGGACGGATTGCCGCGCAGAGCGGACCAGCGTATTGCAGCCATTCTGGTGCAGATCCTCAATGGACCTGCTCCAGGACTTAGCCTTGTCCAGCGAAAAGTCCTCGCCAATCTCCAGCCCTTCAAAATCCAACCTGAGCCGCATACACAGGGAACCGCACAGAGCGGGGGTAAGGGTGGGGAGGGTTAGCAACAGAGCTCAGTAACAGGGGGTCCAGGGTTTTGCAGAGAGCCGCACAGGACCATCCAAGCACAATATAGCAGGGCATAACAAAGCACAAAACAAAATGCAGCGCACCTACAACGAGGCCTCCAGCACACTCATAATCATTAAACAACAGTGAATTCATCACAGTCCTTATCTACAGCGGAAGCCTGGCTTCTTGTTGGGATCTTTTAAATGTCCTAAAGATGGTGCATGGATTGGCGTGTTGTGAAGTTGACAGTGGTTGGTTGCTTTTAGGGTGTGTCACTTACATGACGGCACACTGGGCGAAGGAGAGATACTCCACCAGGATGTCCAGGCCTCTGTTCTCATCATTGAGGAACTCACGAACCCACCTGCCACATTAAAGAGACAGATGATGTTAACATCCTACTGAAATCAAACACTCTATATACACTACCATTCAAAAGTTTGGGGTTAGTAAGAAATATTTACAAGGCTCTTAAAATGTTAAAGATATTAAAAAGGAGTGAAGAAATAAAACAGATATTTTTCTAGACTGTCAACATGACATCAAAGTTAACCCTCAGACTGACAAGTAAACATGGATTTATTGTTAATGATTCATCACTGGTGGATAACATCAAGCCCATTTTATTGTTAAATATCCTATTGAATTAATACACCATTGTCACGGCGCGGGTGCAGGCTGAAGACACAAGGAGTCCGGGGTATCGGTAAAGATGAGGGTTTTAATATATATCAAACAGGCAGGAAAACAGGAACACAGGCGCCACACGGGCTAACAACAAACATCGACCGACAATCACTGAGTAAAACAGAGGGAACTAAATAGACAGAAGAATCAAACATAATGGGGTGAAAACAGGTGAAACAGATGATCAAGACGAGGAACAGGTGGCTGATGAGGGAGTGAACACGGGATAGGGTGACGAGAGGATCCTGGGAAGTGTAGTGCTGAAGACAAGACAGACTGGTGCAGACGGAGGACTGTGACAACCATATTATAGAAGTAGCAAAGTTGACTAAAATCAAGCTCAGAGTTAACTGGTTTGGCAAGACTAATATGGAAAGTCCAGAATAGAGGCCAGTTTTAGCAAAAGGAATTCCCACCATGCAGAGCAAAAGAACGTGGAGATCATAGCTTGAGAGAAGAGGTTAAATCTCTGACAGTGGGAGTGTTTAGACTGCCTCCCCTGAGCAAGCATTCATTTATATACACACATGCATTCTTTTTTTTTCTGCTAGTCTCTCATTTTCATTCTTATTTTACCTCTCAAACACAAGCTGTAATGATTAGTTGAAATCTGTCACTATTGTTAAATGGCCATGGACGCATCAGAAAAAAGCAACAAGACTCCCAAAAGAGCACAGGAAAGACAGACAAAAAAAGAGTGCGACTGAGCAAGAAACAGACTTTTCAGATTGAAAAGGTGGTGGGGGCTCACTCGATCATCAGCTTCCTGTCTACCACCTCCCCCTCCCCCTCCCCGCTCCCCTCTAGACTCTTTTCCTGTCCGTCCAGATGCTATTTCAGATTGTCTTGGCAAAGCAAGGAGTAGCACATCGGAAAGAGGCCAGGGATCGGACACATGCAATAAACAGTCCTCTGTTCCATTTCATCCAGCCCCAAAAAGTCAGCGAAAATGGCTTGCCTATTCTTTTCCTTTTGTTCTTAATGAGAAACACATTACCCCTAGCTCTTAATAATGCAAGAGAGGAGTGTATTGGTTATTTATGGCTCACACAGAAGACAAAGGAAGTAATTCAGAATCATATTTTACCAGTGTCTTCTGAGATTTTGCTCACATTCTATGCGCTTGTGTATGAGTGTTCAGGAAGATACTTTGAAACAGTAGTTTGAACAGCAAGTAATTCAATTTACCGCCTTTACTTTAAGAAATAGTTAGCTGTCACAGATTGAGGAGGAGAGTCCAAAAAAATGGTCCTTTAATGACAATAACCTCAGGTAACCAATGACGATTAAAGCAAAAGTAACCGTGTCTAGATGAACAACAACAACCGATCACTGAAGGGTGAAATGGAGACACAATAGTGAACAGGTGTGATGATTAGATGAGTGTCCATGACAACTGATGACTGGCGGGAAACCAAGACAAAGAAACATGTGATTGAAGATAAACTAAAAGTCCATGAAAAAACAGAGATAATTAAGTGTTTGTGACATTACGCCCCATCCCGAAAGGCGCAACCTCGTGCCATAACAAAAACAAACAGATGAGGGAGGCAGTGAGGATGGGGGCTTAGAAGGTGGGCGAGGGGCTAGCGAAGGGGTAGTGACAGGAGATGGTGATGGAGGAATAGTGACATGAGGATGATGATAGGCCGATGCAGCTGACCCCGAGCTTCACAGTGCCGACAGCCCACGGAAGAGTCGAGGGAGGGAGGAGCCACGGTGTAACAGTGGCTGATGACAACTGGGGTACGACTAGGGTTGGGTATCGAGAATCGAGTATCGATTGGAACCGGGACTAACTTTTCGTTTTTCCCGGAATCGTTCAAAAGTTAAAATTTCGATTCCTAGTTTCGATAGTCACAGTCCGCCGAGCGGAAGAAGAAACCGCTGAACAACACCAACGAAGAAGCGTCTACCGGAAGTGTTGGCATAACCGCGCGAGTCGAACGTTAGTAGCTTACGTCAGCGGTCCAAAGTGTGGCTTCACTTTTCTAAAAATAACGAAATCTCGGCAAAATTTGTGACAAAAGGAGTATTTGTGACAGGAGTATTTCCTTCAGAAAGGATTATTTCCTTCAGAAAGACCGTTGGTTAGCAAGGTTAGCTAAACTTTTTTGACCCTGCCTCTTAAAAGAATCGGAATCGAGAATCGTTAGGAACCGGAATCGAAACAAGGAATCGGAATCGGAATCAGAATCGTTCAAATTCAAACGATACCCAACCCTAGTTACGACCAACACTGAAGGCCGAAGAATCCACTCGCGCAGACAGAAAGCCGACGGAACGGAGCAGCATCGCTGGCACTGGAGACCCAGGCGGTGCCGCCACGATGATAATCTGAGGCGGAGCCGGTGTGATGGAGGACAGAGGCGAAGCTGAAGGCAAGGCGGAACCCGCCGTAGCTGTAGAGATGGAGGAATGGAGCGTAGCTCAAAGCCCACAAGAGTCGAGTGACCAAGGGGGAGCTGGTGGAACTAGGGAACCCGGTGGAGCAAGGCCAAGGGTCTCTGTTGGAGCTGAAGGTGGGAGGACGGGCCGAGATGGAGCGAAGTGATCAGATGCTGGAGGCATGAGCTGAGGGATCCTCTGGTTGTTGAACGACCTGAGGCTCGATGTCACAGCAAGGCTTCCCTTTAGACGACGAAGGGCTCCAAACATCTAGCAGAGGCGGGCTCTGCAGTGAAGGGAGCAGATAAAAATCGTTTGTAGAAATAGTGACGAAAGACAGACAGAATTTAGACTACAGGTCTCAGTGCAGTCTTAAAACAGCGATGATGAAGTACCGGGTAGGAGTTGATCCGTCCGCATTGAAGACCATCAGCCAGTCCCCAGTTTCCACCAGCATTCCCTCAACCTCTAGTGTCATGGGCTCACCCCTGGTCAGACTCACTGAAAGGTTCGGCTCTTTCCTTTCCATCACAGGCTCTGGCTCACGTGTCGCAGCAGGCAGTATAGCTCTCCGATTTCTCCGCAGTTGAAGGTGGTGACTGGGTCTGGCTGTGTTCTGGACCGGGGATAGATGTTCTTCAGGTCTACAGGGTAATGATAATTATCCCTGATCCAGAAGAATTACTTCAGAGTCTTGCTGGTGACCCATACTTGCTGGATAATCCAAACTAGGTTAGTTGTTTTGTCACAAGATGAAGGAGAGTCCAAAAAGGGCTCAAAATACAAAAATGATCCTTTAATGACAACCTCAGGTAATCCACAGAGGTAAAGTAACAGCATAACTACACACAAACACGAACAACAACCAACCACTGAGGGATGAAAAAGAACAACTTAAATACACAGTGATAATGAGATGATAACGAACAGGTGTGATGATTAGATAAGTGTACATGACAACTGTTGACTGGTGGGAAACTAAGACAAAAGGCTTGTTCAACTTGACAGACCGATTGGTTTATGACATCGAAGTACCGCAAGAGCTAGATTCAAAAGCATGCGGGGCCGTCTGTTCTCTGTTCGCTCTCAAGGTCCATTGATGTCATTCACCGATCGGTCTGTGCAAGCCTAAAGGAACACATGTGATTGAAGATAACAAACTAAAAGTCCATGAAAAAGAATCAAACAAGAGTGAGTAACTGAGACCCCGTTTACACCTGGTATTAAAATGCGATCTGTATCCAGATAAGTTATCCGGATAATAAGTACTGATTCCATTTACACCTGGCCACATGAATGTGTTTTGGCAAAACGGATATAAATCCGATCTTCACCTCCTGCGTTATATGCAGATTTATTGGATTGCACGCCACCAAAAGCAACAGATCTGAGCGGCATTTTATTGATCATCAGCTAATTTCCAAATCAGAGACATCAATAAGAGAGAGTGGCAACAGGCCTGGTAAGATAATTTCGTTTCTTTACTTGAAGATGTGTTAACTGCGTCTGTGACTTACTTTCACTTTTATTTGCGATGTTTGCACGTTGAATAGACGCTCAGCTGCTCATCTGCGGTGATGCGTGTCGCGTGTCGCATCTGACTAGGCTATAACATGACATATAGCCTATATAACACGCTCTCACTCGTTTATTTTTTAGCATTTTTGGGAGGAGTAACATATACATATGTGGTTTCAACAACCAGATTGCGTTTACACCTAGTAAAGATCCGGACACAATGCGAGCCAGACTACCTCCAGATGTGGTCAGGCAGATCCGATCACGATCCGATCACAACGCGTTTACACCTTGCATTAACATGCGTTTTTTATTATCCGGATAACTTATCTGGATACAGATCGCATTTTAATACCAGGTGTAAACGGGGTCTGAGTGTTTGTGATATTAGCTGTAGTATGGACAACTAATAAAAAATTAGCTAGAAACTTAAGAACAATATCTTCTTAAATATTTAAATATAAGATGATATAATTTATTCTTTAAATGTATCATTTAAAATCTAAAATTGCTGTTATAAAATGTTAAAATATTAATAAACAAAATGATAATACATAAAATATTTAAAATATTTAATATACAATATTAATAAATATTTAATAAATATAAAATAAAATATTTAATAAATAATATACATTTAAATAATATTATTTTTGTGTAAATAGGCATTGAATTAATAAACGTCTCTTAAAATAAACAGACTAAAGTTCACACTAAACAAATACCAGAATGCAACCTAATTTATATAACTGAGTTAAAAACATAGCACCAAACAGCAGCATGTAACTGAATATTTTGCCACAAAAATATCTAAAAATGATTTGCTACTGTGGAGACCGATGAAGCATTATTTTTGAATTGCTCATTTGCACGGTCCAAACAAATCAATGCTATTTTTCCAGTGCTTTTTGAGTGTGAGTGTGTTCTCTCAACTGCCTATTATAATGCACAATACAATGTGACATTTTGTAATATGTCACTGTAGCATTTTGTAATATGTAAAACAGCTGGACTATTAAAATATGCATTAAAGTTAGTAATGGCACTACTGCCAGTTATTACTTCCCATCGCTTATGTGTAT